TATGCATCTGAGAGCTGGACAATGAGTAGGGATGACAGCAAAAGAACTGACACTTTTAAGCTGTGATGTTAGAGAAGAGCACTGAACATCTCATGGAAAGCCAGGAGCACAAACAGATATGTCTTGGAGAGGGTGCAGCTAGAGTGCTCTATGGAGGCAAAGATCATGAAGCTTCATCTCACATACTTTGGGCATGTTGCTAGGAGGGGCTATTCTGTGGAGAAGAACAGGATGCATGGAAGGGTGGAGGGCCAGTGAAGGAGGGGAAGACCCTCAACCAGGTGGACTGACATGGTGAGACCTGTTGTTCACAGGGTCATTGTGAGTCACTGTCAACTTGACGGCACCTAACAGCAGCAGCAGCAGCAAACAGAATTCCTGGAGGTCATTCTGGTGGATTCTGGCTGGAGTGTCCTCCAGCCAAGCGGCCAGCCTTGCACTTCACCACAGACACCCCACTGCTACTCACCAGTTTCTCACGGTCCAGTTTATATTTTCTCTCATCCTGGAAAAGCGTGGAAGCTCCACTGGAACCTGCCTCCCATGGGTGACCTTGCTGCTACACGAAGTCCTGGTGACATAGCTTTCAGCATCACGGCCACACCTATCCCACCATCACTGTGTGACAAACCAGCAAACTGGGTTACAAAGGACAAGTAAGAATGTTCTACACAAAGGAATCAATGGATCAACTTGGATCGAATGGACTAGTTCTCTGAAAGTCACAAATACCAAAACTGGAATGACAGGGGTCCACATGTTCATAGTAGTTGTTATGTGCCGTCGAGTCGCCTGTGACTCACAGTGACCCCTATGTACAGCTGCGTGTCCAGAGTTACAACCTGAAAAACTAAACCCCAGGCTTGAATTATTTTACTGGTAAATTTCAACAAATACTGTACAACCACTGTGCCCCACATGGCCAGTTTGACCCTGTGTGTGTAAATTCCTTATCTAAGGAGTCCATTGGGTCAGAATGGAAGGGACACAAGCTTAGGCATTTGGGAGATGTTGATGTTGACCAGAAGTGCTCAGTGTGGGGCCGGGGCAGCAACTCACCTGCAAACAGGTGTAGCTGTCACGTGACTTCAAAGGCCCAGGAAGAAAGAGGTTCCTGGCAAACAAGTGAGTCAGCGCCATTGTTCACTGTCTGAAAATCAATCGGGTCCAAAGTAGAAAGTTTTATTTAATGAGCATAAATGTGTGGATAATGGGCTTTTGAAAGAACGCTACTTCCTGCTCCTTGATACAGAAAAGAGACCTTGCAAAACGTCCCGCCTGGGACTGATCCCGGCGAGGAGTTGCACAGGGTCAAAAGAGTGTCAATGAGGACCTCCAGAAGTCCATCAGGAGCAGCCTGGCCCTTCCAGGAGGACAGGACACCCCAGGGGTACCCTCAAACCCAGCCGGGGCAGACCCTTCCCAGCGGATGGGACACACCAGGGGGTACCCTCAAATCCACCCAGGACAGACCTTTCTAGGAGGACAGGAGACTCCAGGGGATGACCTCAAACCCACCCAGGGAGACCCTTCCTGAAGGAACACCCCAGGGAGTGACCCCAAACCCAGCCAGGGAGACTTTTCCTGAAGGACGGGACAGCCCAGGTCCCCGTGGGAGTATCATCTCATGAGACCACACAAATGGGGCCAGAGTACATGGGTTGGCTGGGAGGTAAGCCCCATGGAGGTGTCCTCCGGGGTCTTGGCTGATGTTTCTGTCTTCCCTGGGGGATCCCTTAACTGGAGAGACTGGGGCCTGGAGCTAGAATGAGCATGGATACTGTGCCGCTTCAAAAGCTCCAAACGGGAAGGAGAGTCCTAGGGGACAGCGCCCGCGTGGGGACCATGCAGTCCCTGGCATGGAAGTGTTCCCGTTCCACAGATCTGGTGTATTGCCCAGCTCCTGTGAGGGGGCCAGCCACAGCCAGCCAGAGCTCAGGACTACAAGACCAGCACAGCTGACCAGGCTGGGACACTGGTGCCTGACCTCTGTGAGGGAGTGGCCACAGGCGGCCAGGGACGGGTATGATGAGGCCAGCACAGCTGACCGGGCTAGGGGTTAGAGTCAGGTTTGGAGTCCATGTTCTAAGAGTTCGTAGTCCGTATCTGAGTTGAGACCTGACCATGCAGCTGGATGTGGGCACTGAGCTGTCCGGACTGACAGTGCTTCCCAGACTAAAACCTCGATCGCCTTCAATACCAATAGGCAGTAAGTACATCCCTCCAATAAGTGTGGTCACATGGTCACATCTGAGTCTCCACATGGTGTGGACACCTGTAGGGACCCTCACTCTGGACCCAGAACAGAAGAGGGGGCCCCAGAGGGAGCCAGCCCTGCCTCCTCATTCTTCCAGAAAAATCCAGCCCCTATCTGATCTACCACTGCCTGTTCCTATCGGCCAGATGGACCACCCATGTAAGAGAGGGCCTGCGTTCTCCACACAGCGGCCAGCAAGGTGGCCAGGGCCACTGGGGGACTGAGAGTTAGAGAGGTGTCAGGGAGGTCAGTGAGGAGGTCAGGGGCAGGCAAAGTGGCCAGGAACAAGTGAGGGGCTGAGGGTCAGAGAAGTGTCTAGGGAAGTCAGGGGGTCAGTGAGGAGACCAGGGGTCAGTGAAGAAACCAGGGGGTCAGTGAGGGGGCCAGGGGGTCAGTGGGGAGGCTGGGGTCAATGAGGAGACTAGGGGCTGATGAGGTGGCCAGGGGCCAGTGAAGGACTGAGGGTCAGAGAGGTGTCTAGGGGGGTTAGGGAGGCAGTCAGGGGTCAGCGAGGAGGTAAGGCTGGGCTGTCAGTGCCCCCAGGATGCTGTTCTGTTAGCCTTTTAGAAGTGAGGGTGCCAACGTGTCACCACGGCTTCAGGCCTGCACGCCCTCTCCCCAGCACCCCTTACTCTCCTGATGGCCACTTTCAGTTGATGGGGCACAAGGGACATCGGCTGATGACCCAAGGTATGTGGGTAAGTGTGAGCCGTGAGAGATTGTTCTGGCCAAGAGGCCTGGCTACCCCACAAGCCCAGCTGCCCATTGAGCAGACCCTGGTCTCGAGGGCTGAGCTCGGAGTGAGGACCTTCCTGCAGGGTCCTTGGATGGAACAGCCATTCTTCAGAGGTCTGGGGCATGCAGGAACACTGGGCATGGCAAGAACAGCCCTGCGCCCTGCACAGAAGGACTGGTCCCACTCGGCCTGCCCGAGGGTCCTGGGACAGACAGACAAATCACGCCTATCTGTGGGCATGATGTGCCGTCACTGCCTTAGAACAGTCCTCGGGGTGCTGGGAGAGGGGAGAGGATGCACACGGCTGTGAGTGTCCACTGTGGACCCAAGGACATGCCACTAAGTAAGGTGTGGTCCAGGACAGGGAAGGCGGTGCCCGGAAGGTGGAGGTGACCCCAGAACTTCCCCTGCTGCTGAAAGGCCTGCAGAGGGGTTGTCAGGTGCCAGCATCTGGGAAACAATGCACAAAGCTCTTTTACAAGCAAACAAAGCCAAACAAAAGGTTACTGTACACTGAGGTTCAGGGAAAGTGGCTGGCTGTGGTCTTGGGTAATGCAGAGAGGTGGTCTTAGGGGCTCAGAGAGGGGGGCTCTGCAGAGGTGGGGGGTCTGCAGAGGTGGTGGGGGGCTGCTGAGGTGGTGGTCGTGGGGGCGCAGAGGCTGGGGAGGGTGCAGAGGTGTTGGTCTTAGGAGTGGAGGTGGGCTTGGTGATGACTTCCCAGTGACAGGCCTGGCTGAGACAGCACACAGCCTAAGCTCTCTTGCAGCTGGCTGGAGCTGTTAGGAAGCGAGCGTGTTTCTGGGAGCCTTCCTCTGAGACCCCTCAATAAAGCAAGGGCCACAGTGTAGCTAAGGCACACAGATTACCCCGCTTTCCAGGACAGATAAAAGTTGTGCTTAAATCTAAAGTAGTCTCTGTTCTGGACAGGTCTGCTCTCTTCTGAAGGGGTTTTGATCTATCTTTTGCTTTCTCTGTGGATGATGGCAGTCCACAGCTGGTCTAGTCTGCTCCGGAGTGATGGGTATCTCAAGGTTATATTTTGGCTTCAATTTGGGCTTGCACTGAGCAAGTCCAGCTGCTCCACAGCTGCGGGCTCGTAGACCAAGAAAGAGTTCAGGATCACCAGGTCCTGCAGGGACCCTAGGGCTGGGGGTTACCTGCAGGGGTCTCCACGTGGAGCAACTCGACAAGCAGGCCCGCGCAAAAGCACCCGCGCCCACCTGTCTGGTAAGAGGTGGGGCGGGAGGACCACGGAGGGAGCAGGTCAGCTTCCGGCGCCCCTTTCCCCACCCAGGATTTGGTTTCCCCTTTCGCTCCCTGCCAGGTGTGCTTCCTCCATTCAGACCCTTGGGACCCAGCTACTGCGCCTGGCCCCGCCCACCCGCGCCGGGCCAGCCCACCTGTGTTCCACCAGGGCTCCGGCCACTCGCCCAACAAGTCCTCCTACGGCTCCACCTCTGCCTGTAGCCACGCCCCCACCTTACTCTTGTCCCAGGCCTTGCCCTGTCACAATCCGCCCCGCCCACAGCCTGTAGCCACGCCCCCAACTGTGATTGTGTCTATACCATTCCCCGCCCACCCGACATAGCCCCTCCCTCATCCCCACCCCTTCACATGTAGCCACGCCCGCCGCCCAATCCCCCGCCCTCCGCCCAATCCCCTGCCCACCTGACATCGTCCCGCCCACAGCCCCTCCCGCGGCCCCTACTCTCTGCATGACGCCATGCTCTCCAGTCCAGCTCTTGTCCATGAGGTTCCTTCTCGAGACTCTGCCCACAGGTGCTCCTCCTCCCAGATTCGCTGCCCACGGCCCGTCGCCCAGTCCCTTTAGTTCATATTCCCCTGCTCTGTCCTCGAGCCCTGACCCCCATCTAAAGCTTTGCCCATTGGGCCCCGCCCACACGCCGCTGCAGACGACGTAGCCACGCCCACCATGGCCCCGCCCCCGGCCGGCGCTAGGAGGCCGACGCGCGCAGGCGCACTGGGGCAAACGTGCCTTTTGAAAAGATGGCGCCGGTAGGTCGGCTGCTGGTTCTGTGCGAGGAGAAGATCCGGGAAAGGAGCGGCCTGGCGGCTCACCGGGACCTGGGTACGGCCGGCAAACCGGCGGGTTCCGGGCTGAGGGCCGAGGACTCCGGGCCGAGGGACACGGGCTGAGGGACACGGGCTCCTGGCCGAGGGACATGGGCTGAGGGACAAAGGTTCCGGGCTGAGGGACACGGGCTCCTGGCCGAGGGACATGGGCTGAGGGACAA